TCGGTGTGTCGTTTGCTTCCCTCTGGAGCTGTCCTTTTCCCCTCCCTCAAGTCTATTTTTCTCCTCCCAATTACTCACCCAGCTCTTCATAGGACATGAGCACGCAGTCAACCAACAAGTTGTGGCCGGTCTTCTTGATGATCCCTGAGCACACTGTCTGGGAGGGAGGGAGGGAGGGAGAGGGAAGGAGGGGGGATACCGTCGTAGAGCAGTATCCATGAGATTCTCAAGCTTCGGGTCAGGGATCGGAACGTCCGCCGGAATCATTTCCTCCCTGTATCGCATGCCTGAATTGCAAAGCGAGTCAAAACAAACGGAATCCTATTGCTTTCTTGTTTACGTCTGGCTCCTACTACTACTACTCTTTCCTTCTCCTCATCCTCCTCCTCCTCCTCCTCCTCCTCCTCCTCATCATCATCATCATCATCATCATCATCATCATCATCATCCCGCTCTCTTCCCATCCTCTCTCCCCTGCTGCTTCCTCCCTGCTTCCACCTTGTCTAGCATCACCGTTGCTGTTCCCGAAGTTCTCAGGGCGGGCAGGAGGAGCATTGTGAGACTGCACAGATGAAGAGAATCAGCCAAGGAGCGAAAGTGGAAGGAAGAGGAAAAAGAGAAGAAGTGGGTTAGAGATGAAGAAAGCGAAGGATACAAGAAGGGTCGATGTGTTGACAGTAGGAGGAGAAGGAAGAAGAGAGACGGAGAAAGTCAGAGACGGAGGAAGCGGAGAGGAGGAGGATCAGGAGAGAGGAAAAAGAGGTGGAAGAGGGAAAAGAGGAGAGGAGAGGAGAGGAGGGGAGAGGAGAGGAGAGGAGGGGAGGGGAGGGGAGAGGAGAGGAGAGGAGAGGAGAGGAGAGGAGAGGGGAGGAGAGGAGAGGGGAGGAGAGGAGAGGAGACGAGCAAGGGAGGGGATGAACATACTGGAGTCGGCAGAGGACCGAGGAAGCGAAGGGCGTCAGCAGAGGAGGGCACGACGAGACGCGAGTTGGCGACGGACTGATGAGCAGGAGGTTCTTTCCGAGCTACCTTCCTGCTGGTATGGTCAGGCAGGTCAGCTGAGCGGGAGAGTCCTCGCCAGGAGGCAGATGCTTCTTTTCCTCCTTCACGCCCTCGCTCCGCTCGTACTGCTCCTGCTCCTGCTCTCTTTGGGGGCTCCGGCGAGTGGGCGGGGGACGCTGCTACGCGACGAACGTCCCATCCGATGAGTTGGTCAAGACCAGAGGCGTCTTCGACTCTCTCTCGACTCCTTCCTCTCTAGCAGCAGGAAAAGTCAGGAGGAGGGGCAGGAGATTTGAACAAACAAGAAGAAAGTAGAGCAGAGCAGAGCAGAGCAGAGCAGACAAGTGCAGAGGAGGGAAGAGGAGGAGAGCGGACGAAAGAGGAAGAGGAAAGAGAGTAGAAAGGAGAGAAGAGGAGGAGAGGTGAAAATTTGAGACAAGAAATGAGGGGTTGAACACGAGGACGAGAGGGGAGGAGGCAACGGAGGAGGAGGAGGCAACGGAGGAGGAGGAGGAGGAGGAGGAGGAGGGTTTACCCCCGAGAGGTCAGGGGGAGGAGATGCCGAGCGATTTCTCTCCATGGAGATGTCATGCCTTGAACTGCCGTCTTGCTTGACTACAGGAGAAGATCGTTCTGCAGTGAGCTGAGCAACAGAAGCTGCCGACCTATCTCCCCCCTGCTCTCCTTCCTGCCTCCCTCCTCCTTCCATCCCTGTCTCCTTTCCCTCCTCCCATCCTCGCTCCTGCCTGCCTGCCTGCCTGCCTGCCTCTCCATCCACCTTCTCACCTTGCACTTCTCTACCCCTTCCTCTCTCGTTCAAGCTCTTCTCTGCTGTGTTTGGAGCCGGTGGCCGGACGCCGGGAAGAGGATCTCGACAAACGGCAGGCACTGCAGCTCAGGTTCAGCTGGGGTAGATGCAAGGCCCGCAAACTTACTGGAAGGAGGGTTGAGGCGAGCTGGGGAGTCCAACGCCCCCCGACAGATTTCCTCATGCTCCATGACCTGAGGGAAGGGAGAAGAGGAAGGAGAAAAGGAAGAAGGGGGAGGGAGGGAGGGAGGAGAGAGGGAGGGAGGGAGGACAAGGACGAGAGCAGGAGAAGGAAGAGATTGGAAGATGGAAAGGGAAGGAGTTGAGAGGAGTGATGGGACGAGGAATACAAGAGGGAGGAAGAAACAAGAGTTCACAGGAAAAGACAAGGAGGGGAGTGGCGGTAGGAAGAAAGTCAGCCGTCTCCCAGCAATCATCTCCTCCCATACCTCGACGTAAGATCCCCGGAAGCCGCAGTTCTTGTCGCACTGGGGAGGAAAGGAAGTGTTAATCATGATGCTACTTGTGTTAGAGATAGAGGAGAGGAAGGCGAAGAGGAGGAGCAGCAGAGGTAAGGGAGGAGGAGCAGACAGCAGCGAGCAGAGGAGAGAACGCCTATTCCCTAAACCATGTGAGAGAAAAGGAGAGGAGGGGAAGGCGAGGCGAGGCGAGGGTTGGAGAGTAGAGGATGTACCTGCCAAATGGTCTCCTTGCTGGCTGTTGGACTTGGGGATCTCGGGAGGGCTAGAGGAGGGAGCAATGAGAAGAGGGAGAAAAGAAAGGAAGTCTGACATTTCAAGAAATTCGGGGAGACGGATCCTGTCTTAGGGGACAAGGAATGATGGGAAGCTATGGAGGGTGAAGAAAGGGACGGAGTCCGAAGGCAAAGTGGAGACAGGGGAGTGAGGGAGGCAGAGAGTGAGGGAGGACAAGGACAAGGATAAGGGAAAGAACGCGGACGAGGACGAGGACGAGGACGAGGACGAGGAGCACCAACGTCAGATGGAGACAGCAAAGGGATCACGATCACCAGCGGGAGAGCGAGAGGAGCTGCGAGTCGATAGGCTGTTCTTGCCCACGTTGACGTCCGAGGTGGACGGCAGGGAAGTCGCATGCTTGCACTGGTGAGGATCGCAGGAGAAGGAAGAGAGAGGGAGAATCAGAACATTTCTTGAGAGTGCTGAGGAGGACGGGGTGAAGGAGGAGCAGCTGAGGAACAGCGCAGGAGGGAATGGAGAGGTAGGGGAGGCAGGAGGAGCAAGAATGAAGAATGGCACGCAGGGAACGAGGAGGAGCAGGGTGAGAAGCAGGAGGATGAGGAGGAAGAGCAGGAGCAGGAGCAGGAGCAGGAGCAGGAGCAGGAGCAGGAGCAGGAGCAGGAGGAAGGGCAGAGGTTAATATTCACCTCATCTCGGAAGGTAGTAACCGCTTTCCACTTCCCTGGCCAATGATGTGAGCGAGGAGAACAGACGGAGGGATAGGACGCACCCGCCGCCTCCTCCACCTCCCTCTCCTCCTTCATGCGGTACTTGAGAGCGACTGCGTTCAAGACATCACGACACCGGAAGGTCGAAACCTCAGATCAGCTCTTTTGAACTTGGCTGCAACGACATCTAGCAAGCAGACGATGTCTCAATCTCCCGCACCTTCCGCTGCCGACGGCTTCTTTCCCGACGTGGCGCTCGAAAGCTCATCCCACGCTAGAGAGTATCTCCCTCCGGTGATCTCGTCCTTCAAAGCCTGCATGGAGGAGGAGGAGGAGGAGGAGGAGGAGGAGTAAGATGAGAAGCAGAAGTCGCATCCTCACAAGAACCTTAGAGTCAGGAGAATCTTGCACCTTCTTCGGCTTCTCCTTCCTCGTCCTCGTCTGCCTCTCCTCCCTCTCTCGCTTCAGATGCTCCGGCACGCTCACTCCAGCTGAACGCCCAGCTGCAGGACTGCCCTCGCTGACGCGCTCTGCCGCCGCCGCCTTGTTGCTCTTAGCACTGCCCCCAAGAGTTTCAAACAGGATGCAAGCTCCTGGGAGAGGGATGGGAGGGGGAGGGGGGAAGGGATTTGCTTCACCCGCTTGCTCTGCTCTCCACTTGACTGTCCTTCGTGCCTGATGCGGCCGACCCGCGTCAGACCGTGCAGAGAGCATGTAAGAGACATCAACCAGATTCCTGCGACTTGGCGTTGGAGAAGGAGTAGTCCGAGACGTTGTGCTTCTGGAGGTCGAGGAAGGATCAAAGGTCCTCCTCCTTTCAACTCATCTCCTGCTCCACCTTGAAGATCTCAGCCATTCTGTTCTCGATGACCTTGGAGGTGTACTGCAAGCCAGCCTCAACCGCCAACAATCATCCCACCACACTCACCGACTGATCCGACTTGATCTTCATGGCCTCGGGGCTGGAATCAGGGCTTCTCCTCATTCTCAGTTTCTCAGCCTGGACCTTGCCTCAGGATTTGAACTCGAAATATGCTCTCCCTCTTCATGCTTCATTCTTTATCCTTCTATCCGTCTTCCTCCCTCCCCGATTCTCAAATGCTCGACAATCCGCTCCCTCAGACTTGCTCTTTGGCTCCTCTCGTCACTCTACACTGTTCATTCCATCCCTCTCCACTCACTTCATCCACGGCATCCTCTCCCCTCCCTCCCGTCCCCTCCACAACGCTGCTCTGCCATGCT